GGAGGGCCGGCGACACGGGGCCCTGCTAGGTTCTGGGGCGAGCGGACTCGGGAGAGCCCCGCAGAACCACTTTCCAGTCGTGCCGGAGGAAACAGCAGAACGGAGCGTCAAGAAGACGGAAAGTAAGAAGGCAGCACCATCGCGTTGCCTGTAACAGCAGCGCTTGGAAGCCATCTGAGTGCGTCCCTGGGGCCAGCTGACAGCCAGCACTTCCCCTTGACGGAATGCTCAGCTGTCACTAAAGAGCAGCAGGCGGCCTCTGTGCAGACGAGTGGACACTTCCCGGTACAGTCTAAGCAAGGTGCAGGGGAGGGCAGCGCGCGCCTCCGGAAAGCGTTGCTTCTTAGGACGGCCACTGTGGGACTGAAGTGTGCAGTGGCGGGAGATAAAGAAGACTTCCTCCTCACCATGTCATCTTTTGTACCTTGTGAATCTGGCCATCTATACTATGTATTACCTGTAAAAAAACAAAAACAAAAAACAAAAAAACTTTAAAAATTGCATTTGCTTAAATACTGTCTAATGATATTCCGGACTCTCCATAAGGCATCTGAATGCTTTTAAAAAATGCTTTAATAAATATTAATTTAAAAAGTATACAAGCACAAATACCATCAACCCACAGCTATGTAAAGGTGATCGCAGTGGCAAGTCGAAATTGAAACTTCACTCCTCCTTCCTACCTGCTAGTGATAGAGATGGGTGGCGCCCACTGTGTGATCCATCTATCATTACATCAAATTAATCACAGGACTCCGAAATTTTAACAATATGACATTACATCAGGGCGATTTTCCTAATTACAAAGTGATTTATAATCAGAAATGGACTATTGAATCCCAATGTCATGAGTGATGTTTCTACACAGAAATAAAAAATGTTACTTAGCAATTGCTTACTGAATAATCATAGTAAGTTGACATCTATCAAGCATTTACTGTGTGCCTTACTGGACACTGTGTTGTTTCATGTTGACTATTTCTTTTAATCTTCAAACTGTTCCCTATTTCGTAAGTAAAGAAACATGCAGAAATGTTCTTCAATTTACCTGATATCACACAGCTAAGAAAGCTGCGGAGTCTGGGTTTGAAATCACACCTGACTAATTCTAAAACCTATGTTTTAAAAACCTTTGCTCTACATATTACTTTTTAAATCATTGTGAAAGTCCAGGCTCAATATGACTCTCCCTAATCCTGTGGTTTCACAATTTAAATAAAAGGTGTCTAAAAATTGAGAACTAGACTCTGTTTGAGGAAATAGTTGTAAAGAGTGTAGCAGCCTATAATTTTTTTGTTTTTCCTTTTCCTAATCTTTTTGTTTTAAGTTTATTTATTTATTAATATTATTATTTTTTTACATTCTATGATGTTGTTATGGAGCAGTTTGGGGGGGAGAGGGGAAAGGGGAAGGAAATAGGGTGGGGGAAGGAGGAAAGAGGAGGGGCAGGGCAGAGGCCTGTGGCACCCCCTTCGCTCCTGCATGGGAGACTGGGGGCTTCCAGCGGTGGCTTGGTCATTGCTGAGCTGGGTGCAGGTGTCAGAGGGGTGAGGCTGAAGTTCTCCCCCCCTCACCACCGCAGCTTGGGAGAGCCCAGGGCTCTTCCTGCAGCAGCTCAGTGGTCGTCACTGGGCTGGTTGCAGGTGTCAGGGTGGTGGCCGAGGCCCAAGGCCCCCCGACCCTTGGGACTGGTTGCAGCTGTTAGGGGCATAGCTGAGGCCCCCAGCCCCGCCCCCCATTCCCTGGCTTGGTAGCCCAGGGGACTTCCGGTCCTTCTAGGTTTTATAGGTGTTCTTTGGTGATGTGACACCTTTAGTAGTTAATATCAAACTTTGTTTCTGGTCTGTGGGTATTTTGTTTTTTCTTTCAGTTCTGTGTTGGATTATTGCTGTTCCCGCCACTTAAACTCTGCACTGGAACTAATTTTTTGTCCTTTGCTTACTTCTAAAATGCAGGAACTTCCTGTGGGGACCAGCACTTGAGCCCTGTGGTTGAACTAAATTGTTGTTTTGCTGCTGATTCCCTGGGGAAGGCTTTTTGTGCAGCTCAGGTTTTTTGTGGGTTTTTTTGTCTTTTTTGTGACCGGTAAGGGAATCGCAACCCTTGCCTTGGTGTTGTCTGCACTGTGCTCAGCCAGTGAGCGCACTGGCCATTCCTATATAGGATCCGAACCCACGGCGGGAGCGTAGCTGTGCTCCCAGTGCCACACTCTCCCGAGTGCGCCATGGGGCCGACCCTGCAGCTCAGGTTTTAATGGTTGACTTTATAGGTACTTCTGGGTCTTGTGAGATCCGGAACACCTGGGCTGTGTAGGAACTCTGGCTGGGCCTGGGTCTTTTCAGCAAACTGCACTTCCTGCAGTTCTATATTCCTGACCAATCTCCTCCAAATGGGCCTATGCTAATTGGGGGACAGATCAGCTGTCCTTGCTGTGCCCTGCTGATCTCCCAGTGGCCCGTCTCCCCCACCCCCTGCACTCCAAACACTTTCCATGGGATGGGCTGTGTGCTGGTCCCTTGTGATGACTCACTGGCCTCTCAGTGGCTCCTTTTTTTCAGTTTTTGTGTTCCTTGCTCCGATGTGGATCCACAGGAACAGTGTTAGTAGTCTTGCTAGCCTGGGAGGCCACCAAGGCCCTCTTTTCCTCTGCAGCCTCCAAGCAACTCCATCTGAAGGGCACAGCTGTGGCTTTTGCTGGCTCCTGCTCTGTATGCTCACCAGGGCCAGCCTTGAAGCGATCGGGGCTTGAGATGGTTGGAACAGTCCTTTCTTTCTCTCATTGTGGCTTTTCCCACCTTCATGAACTCTGTAGGTCTCTCCTCCTCTCCCCTGAGCTTTAGCGGCCCCAGCTTGGCTGTCATTGCTTTTTAATAGTTGTAAATTAGTTGATTTGTGGGAGAGAGTGACGCTGGGGACCGTCTATTCCACCATCTTAACCAGAAGCCTAGCAGTCTGTAATTTTAACTCATGTTACAACTTGGTTGTACAGAGTAAATATGAGGTCTTTGTTTTGTGTGTGACTAATGTAGTATTTATTTCAGTGTCCATAAATAAAGTTTTTTTGGAATACAGCCAAGCTCATTTGTTTATGTATTTCTATAGCTGTTTTTTTGCTACCGTGGCAGACTTGTGTACTTGCACCATAGGCCATATGGCTCGCAACGGCTACATAGTTACTGTCTGGACCTTTACAGAAATGTGTGCTGATTCTTGATCTAGAGTGATGGTCATGTACTCAGAAAGGCAAAAGAGGGAAGGACTTTTATGACTTAAAAATACCGTCTCCATTCTAAAAGTGTCATTTTCATATTCACCTAAGTATTCCATTCCTGTTCAGAACTGTACATTCTGTACTGTTCAAAAGTGATTTAGCACTGAGAAAATGACATCAGTTTTTATAGGACGAGTATGGTATATATATTGCAATAGGTTTTATTCAGCCACAGATGTTCTTTTTTGTTCGTTTCTGTGAGGATGCTAGCTTGCTGGTAAGCACACATCCTTTGCTCTGGAGGCTCTTATTCACCAAAGATCTTCCCGAAAAAGAAGGAAACCAGAGAAAGGGAAGGGGGCAGGGGGATAGTGAGAGGTTGGTTAGTGGACACAAAATTAGAGCTAGATAGGAAAGATAAATTCTGCTGGTTTACAGTAGTGCTAGGCATCTATAATTAACAATAATTTATTGTACGTTTTCAAATGGCTAAGAGAGGAACTTAAATGTTCTCATCACAAAGAAACAGTAAATTTTTGCAATGATGGATTTGCTAACTACCCTGATTTGATCACTACATATTGTATTACATGTATTGAAATATAACAGTACCCCATAAATGTGTACAATCAATATGTTTCAATTAAATAAAAACATTAAGTTAAATTTAAAAACGAAGTCAAGGATATATGTGATGCTTTGCCAAAATGAAACAATTATTATGAGTTGAAATATATAGCTTGTGTTATCACATACGAGAGTTGGAGTCAGCTTAAAGAGATGATTGCCACTGTTTTTCTTAGATTTCAAGAACTGTATTCTCTTTTTAAAAGCTTTAATGGCTCTGGAAAACATAGAGAAGGTTCCGTGAATTTGTAGAAGACAGTGCGTGGTGAAAGAGCACTGTGCTTGCTCTCCATGGGGATAGTTGCTACTAATCTCAGCGCAGAACTTTTAGGAAAGCTGATGTTGACGGGATGTGAATCCCAGTTACCCCCTCCTCTCCATTGCCATCTCTGTCACCTTCTAGCCCAGAGCAGTGGCTCTCTTGTTGTATAACCAAAAATTTCTAGGTTGTGTCTATGGAC